AACTAAAAATTGTCATTCCACATTCCTCCTCACATATTGCAAATCCTAAATTTTAAGGGGCAAAATCAGAGTTTGAATCACTTCCAGAAAGTGAAGATGAATACACTAGTCATTCAAATAAATAAATAAATAAATGAAAAAAAAAAAAAAAAGTTAAATGATTCTAGAATAGCAGATTGAAATCCCAACAGGATGCTAATCTGTCTAGGACCAAAAGTCCCAAAGTGAGTCACTACACAGTTTGCATTAGTTCATAAGGTTACATTTTCATTCCTGCATATAAATTTTACTTGCAGAAGTGCCATAACTATTGCGTGGAAAACTATAGAGCACTTCTGTGGTAAAGGATGTAATTTTTATATACGGATACAGATAGATACAGATCCAGCCTATCCATCAGGAGCATTGTCAGGCTTAGGTGAATAGTATCTCAGGAGCACTTCTGTTTTTTTGCATGGCTGCAAGTGAAAGCTTGGCTAATACGAATGATAGAAAAATAAATCCTTGCCCTAGTTCCATATGGTAAAAATATTTTCATCTCTTCACTGCAACTCAGCATATTAAACACTTTAGGTGCTACTGGTCAGCCAAGTTGTTAGCAATATGAAGCAAAAGGCAATAGATGTCTTAAAATGAAACTCTTTGTTTCATTTGGTATATAGACCTTACTAAACTCATCATAACTTCAACAATGCCTGAAGCAAAGCAACACCTGTTATTGAGCATAAGAAAACATGGAATAAGGTGACCTTTCATACTTAGCAGTACTGTGAAAACCTACTGGTCATAGAAGATTAAACAAACTTTTTAATCTCAGGAAGCTTTCTTCTTAGTTTAACAAATCATGTTTGTTTGTTTTTTTCCCCCTCCAAGCGTCAGTTTCAAATCCAGATTTCCAAAGGAAGAATTGCTATATTCCTCTGAGGTTTTTATATTAATGTCTTAAGTCTAAAATACTAAAATCTAGTAAAATACCGCACTGAAAAGCAGTTCAGAAAGAAACTTCATTTTTTCCACAAACGTTCTAGAACAAACATATAAGAAAATAACTGTGTAAAACATTTCATTCTGGTTTGGGTTAGAAGAAAAGAGTCCTAACTGTTTGGCATAGTGTTGTTCAGACTCAGTTCCAAATGATTAATTAGTGAGCTTTGGTGACTCAACATGTCCTAAGGATGTACCAAAAGTTCATGCATTAGGATTGAGATCTTCATTTCCATCAGTTTTCTTCACAGTTACAGATTGTCCTGTTCTCACAAAATGGAAGGACCTGTGTAATATTGGTAAGTCAAACCATTTTGGCTGGCCAAAACCTATGTGGGTTTCTATAAAATGTATAAACAAACAATTTAGTATCATTACTTTTGAATTCTGGGAACAAAAGAAGACAGAATCATAGTAACAATTGCATTCATTCAGGGATTTACTAAGGTGTTTTTCAAAAAGCTAGTTAGTCAAAAAATTAATCTAAAACAAACAATAGCACGAAATGAGATACACTCATCTCAATTTGCCGTGGATGAACCATATAGAACAACAATGATCAAATCAAGTATATATAGCAGGATTAAATAGGAACCAAGAAAGGATATATATATTTTTCTTATTCATTGCCTTGATAAGCAAATTAAATTTCATTAAATCTCATTAGCATGAAAGCTGGCATAAAAGGATGGATTCATAGGCTGATTTTGTTTACTCAGAAAAATTGGTGTGTTCACCTGTATATTAATTTCAAACCTTTATCAACTTAAAAAACAGAAGTTCTTTAACACAGGTTTTTCAATTCTACTTTTCCTATGGTAAAACTAAAAGGCATGTGCAATATTTGTTTACTCAATTAGGAAAGCCAAAATTGAATACAATGTTTATCTTTATTTGGTTTGACATCAAAAAGGCAGATAAATGTAATGGAAAGGAAAGCTAGGTTATACAATTCAGCAGTAAATGTTTCTAAAATTGTTTTCAATGTGAACGGCAGTAAGCTGCATGCTGTTAATACATAATTTATGTTATACAGTGTGCAGTGTGGTAACTAGTTATAAAATCTTATTCTTCCTTCTACTATCATCATGTTTCTCACTGTTACTCAGACTAGCTTTATCCTCACCTGGGACAACACTTGCCCCAACCACTGTACCCCTTTAATTGTACGTGTTTTATATTTGCTTCTCTGCAACTCATACTGCCTGAAACAGCTTCTGACAAAATGCCTCCTTTTTGTCTACTCCATTCTCATTTCTATGCCCTTTAAAGTACGTTCAGATTATAGCTACCTTTATCTGCCTGATACAGTTTCGATCCCAGTTGTGCAGCCAGGGAACATATATATTTTATAGCTGGTTTTGGATAGCAGTCAATTCCTTTCTATTACTAACGTTACCAGGACGGTTCAGATACTGGAGTTCTCACCATACCTCCAAAAGCTTCTGGGTTCACATTTAAACCCTGCTGTTAAGGGCCACCAGCTTTATGCTGTTCTTACCCTAAACCCTCTTAGAGGACCAAACACACAGAAACACATCCACCCCCTTGGCTCGTATGTCACACTGATAAAAAAACAACTTTCAAAGGGGTTTATTTTTTATCTCCCTCTTTCTCCCCGCTATTCCAAGGAGAACTATCACATGACAGCATAGTGTATGTCTCACAGGTATAGAAGATACCTTTAAAAAGCAACATCTCTAAGGTACAGAATATTATTAGTTCTACTTCTGAAACACATGAATCTGCATGCAGATGAAGATTACAAATTATCATAAAGTACATGATGCTGGCCACAAAACAGCTTTGATGTGTTGCATCAGCACGGGGGAAGCGTTATTAAAAGACTACCAACTTATATTTGTATTAAACACAAAACTAATTGGGTCCCATGGTATATATCATTTCCTTTATCTTTATTATCATCCTTTAATGGACAGAAATCTGAAAGTAGCATAAGGTGAAGTTATATACATATAGAAGAACACTTTATGACAATTACAATTCACAAAAGAAAAGGTTGCCATACCTGATAGGCAAAGCATAGATTTGTGAAGGTTCAGAATTTAAAAAACAAAAGAAAACTATGACTGGCAGCTTAAAATTATGTTACCCAAAAATGCTCCTTACAAACCTACTGTAGCATGAATAAGCAAATTTGCCAGTTCTCCAAGTCTTGAGGAACTAGCACAGGCTAAAAATGTTTCAACACTAAGTTAAGGTATAGCATTCAGTAAACACAAACATAGGCATGGTACAGTTTCCATTGACTTAAAATACTAAACATAGGTCATCTAATTAAATTCATTTAATTGCCTCAGCAAACACTTCTGCCACAGTCTTGCCTAGACAAGGGGTGCATGTTCTGTGGCAAACAGCATGGGGCTGGGAAGGAGCACTCAGGGAAAACAGCTAACTACATTTTAGAGAGGATAAATAAAAGAGTTGGTTTGCTCAAAATCCATTTCAGAAGACTGTAGACTTTGTGTTGTTTTAAAACCATTTAGACAGAAGATAGACCCTGAGGGCTAAAATGTTCTTAAAATTATTGCTCTAAGTTATTAAAAACAGAAGTAGGCCAAATTCTTAGAAGACAAAGGAAATTGTCTTCCTGTTAGGTGTGCAGTCCAGTACCCTTTCCAACACATTTTGCTAAATAAACTGCCAAGAGAGAAAGATTAAACATATTAAAGATCACATTGTTAATTTTCCTTGGTGACCAGAAGTTGGCTATAAAATGTTTTTTTATGTAAGCTAAAATGGTCTTAGGTGGAATAAAATGTAATGAAAAACAGTGCATGCATCAAAAGGGAAGTGAGTCTACCAATTATTTATTAAAATTAAAGTAATAAAAGAAAACGAGCAGCCAGAGCATCACACACCCCTTCCCCCTCCCTCCCCCCCCATAATCTGACAGTCTGCTTGCAGGCTCCTGCCATTGGCTCTGCGCACAGGAGCCGGCGCCTCTGACAAATGACACTCAGCTGACGCCAGCGCTGGTGCTGCCAGGCACCAGGGTCTCAATTTTTATACTGTTCCTCTTAAATACAACTTTAAAATGTCATAAAAAGGATTTGGCCTTAAGAACTCTACTAACATGTTTCCTGGGGAAAATTCTTCCTGCAAATTAGTCATATACAGAGGCTAACATACACTGAGGACATATCTTTCAAAAATACATGCACATGAAGCCAATCTCACAACTTGAATGCAAATTTTCTCCAGTGAGCTTCCATAATTATGTTTGCCATTAAGAGACTCAATATTTACCCAATGAACACAAGTTTTCTGCAAAACTATTCTTGCATTAGATAATGTTCACTAAGCACTAATCAAGACAAATTCCAATATAAAGAGCATGACATGACGCAACAACCACTGGTAGAATTTATAAGCAAGTCAACTGCACTGTATTGCAAAGAAAGTTACAGAGAAAGACTGTTCAGTGAACAAGAACTATGTATGTCTGTGGTTTAGCAAGGAAACAGATGTTTTAATGATGATAAAGGGATTTTAATGCTATGTGACTGTCTTCCAAACACACAAAAACCTACCAGAAAAATGAATTGAAGATTACTGTATTATCATATGAATGAACATTTTTTCCTGTTTTCAGGCCACTTGAATGTATAGAAATAAGCTCCAGGGCAAACAACACAATATGAAAGGACGAAAATACATCTTCATCATTTCCATCTAGTAATGCTAAGAAAGAAGTGGGAAGTATTTCTGTACCTTTGATACAAAAAGAAAATATGTTTCTCTGCTCAAAAGGCTTTTACCTTATAGGAAAGCATGACCATTACAATTCCATTTCTATCACTTGTCTCTTCTGTACAGGCAAAGGAGTGCCAAACATATTACTTCAGCAGTACTATCTCTGTGAGATTCTCATAGCCCAGTTAGTCCTCATTTGACATTAATGTGGGAAAAAACACAGCATCTGGTACTTGCCATGGTATTTTGCAAACAAGCATTTTGAGTTTAACAATCTGTAATGTGTATTGATTACTCACCATATCCATGAATGCCTCCTAAAGGGAAAATTATTCACATGCATCATGTTCACAGATCTTCCAACATCAGTGTTTTCCTTGTCAGACAGCTTTATCTGTTATGGTATTCATAGATGCATTCCAGAACAACTGCACGAGCAGTTAACAGCAGGGATTATTGCAAGAGTAACTGTAATCCACAAAAATAAAAATTCCCAGGATCTGAAGAAATACTTGTCACAGGGTTTTCTAGGTACATGTCCATCCATTTATGCCTCACTTTCTACTTAAAAATACATTAAACTAATCAGTATACAGAAACAGTATGACAATGCCAACAGTTTGCCTTGATAAAAATCCAAGTGGTTTTAATACGAATTAAAGCATCTTCATATGCAGCATCTTGTACAGTTGGAAAAGGTTAGTCAAAAGGTAGCTTCTTGTCATCCATGCCAGATCAGTGGTGAGAGGAAAACGTGTAACTTCAGATTGCTTTGCCATGTTCGGAAAGGAATATTGCTTTTTCTTCTTTCTTAGACACATATTCATCACTGATCACTCTAATGCAGTTTTCCCTTATTACAAGCCCAGGGAACAGGGTGGTGTTTAATAGCCATGTACAACAAAACCAAACTTCTTTCAGAATTTGATTCTCTGGGTTTATTTCTTCATCTAAGAAAGAAGGAAGGAAGTATGCTTTTTCTGCTCCAAAGAACAGGTCTACAGTTAGAGACCATCATGAGACAAGATCACATCATGATCAAATTCGCTTTTGCTGTCTAACCCCATAAGAAGGCTGTCTGCTCCCTTTAAGTAAAATGACTAAGCTATTGATTCTTGCACTGCAGAACCTAGTTCTCTTTTGATGTTACACTGTACATAAAAATCATGTGCATCATTTTTTATGTTGCAAAACGAAAGCACAGCCTAAAGTCCCGTGTTGTCTGAGAATTCTTTCTCTGCTGTCCTTTTGTTTGTTTTTATTTTTATTTTTCCCACCCACCCCCCACCCCCTTTCCAGTCCAGCTCCCAGCTAGTAGTTATCACTCCTGAAGCTCTGGCAACATCCTCGGGAAAGCTTCTTAATTAAGCCCAAGCTGGAGAGCCGCTTCCTACGCTCCAAGCGCAACGCAGGCAACAGGCTCGCTCTTCCTCGCTGCTGGCAAGGATTTCCAACGTACCCCTAGGGCTCCCGCTGTCCTCGCCCGCTCTGCTCGGCGCTCCGGACACTCGCGGGCTCGGCAGCACCCCGCCTGCAGCGGAGCGGGGCTGGGCTGGGGCTGCGGTGGAGGCAGGCTGCCTGGCGGAGCCGGCGCTGGCGTCAAGGGGGCCCTCTAGGTGGGTTCTCCCGGCACAGCGCCGTCCTGCGCGGCTCTTCCCACCCACGCACGGAGCGGGGAAGGATGGGGCCGTGCGGGGAGCAGAGCACCGGAGCCTTCCTTAAAGCCACCTCTTTCCCCCCCTCGGTGGCTGCGAGCGAGGGGAATGCAGCAATCGAGGGCAGAAAGCAGCGGGCAGTGATGCGCGGAGGAAATAGGCTTTCCTGCGCTGATCCCTGCTGACATTCAAGATACCAAGAAAGGCTTTTATGCTTCATGTGCCCAGGCCGTATACAGTTCGCTTGTCATTCTTTTTTTTTCTTTCTTTCTTTTTTTTTTTTTTTTTAACAAGGTTTACACTGCTTTTTAAACTTCGAATGACCTCCTGCCCTTTTGGACAGGAAATCCTGCAGTTTGGAAGCCAGCTGCAACTTCAATGACATTAAAAGCTGTGATAAAAGTGTGTATTTGATTAGGGTGTGGGTGGACTTGCGAGTAACGTGATAAGATACTGAACTGCACATTTTCATAGATCCTATTTCCTTAAGCTCAGTCCTTTTGCTGCTGTGGCCCTGTTCTACAGTTCCCCAAATTAGTCCTATTAAAGTTGATGCTGTTCTGTAGAAAGAACAAAATATTAGACTACTTGAATGTGATAATGCATTGGCAGTAAAATGTTATTTCTTTTAATTCAGCAACAAAAAGTGAGCTTGTACTGCTGTATACTGCATGCATCTGTACTCTGAGGAGTTAGAGCACCAAAATACAACAGATTTCAGAATTTAAAAGGATTCCAGCAACGTTTATGTCCTGATAATCCATGCAGAACGTTGTTTTTTCATTTTATCATTTAAACATAGCCATGACAGAAAACAGATACAGTGAATTACAAATAGTGAGAATGAAAGTTAGCTTTTTTTAACTAAGAGCTTAAAAACAAAGTCTATAGCCAGGTTCAGTAAGGACATTTGGTATAACTTTTTAAATGACCATGTAAACACTTCATATTTTATGCAAAAAGCACCACCGCCACCACCCCAATCCCAAATTGGCATTAGGAATTTATGCCAAAAGCATTTGAAAAGAGTATAAACAAAACTGTGAAAACTGAAAGGTTGTGTGATTAATCTATCTATATAAAACAACAACAACAAAACATTACCTCTAACTAATCCAGTTTTCTATGGCTTTCTCTAGGCTAGAACCACTTATTATGAAATATTAAGTATGCCAAATGCTACACAAATCTGCACTGTCATTATTATTTCATATTGTACTTGCCTAACTGCATACTTGCCTGATCATTCTTAGGTGCTGACATTTTCCACACTAGACTTACTTTATGAATTGTACTATCTTGAGAAAGAGCTTCTTAACACCAACCTGCCACTAAACACACTTGAAATTCACAGTCTATTCTGCATCTTTGTCATGAGGAAACCAATATATTTGGTTTTCTCTAGTATTAAGTTCAGAGCAAATTATATCCACTGACTCAACTAATTTCATTCAGAAGCAGAGTTGCAGAAGGAGGGTGAGCATATGTAAAATTACTATATAGCATTGCACAGCAGTTAGAGAACTCACCAACCAAGTAGAACACAGGATATATGGGCTTTGCAGAGCAAAGGTAAGTTCAAACCAGGGTCCTAAATCATTAAAGAATTTTTGCCACACTTCTAGAATAGGCTGACTTGTGAAATTCTTCTAGGTCAGACCCACTATAGATTTCTAGTCAGTTCAATTTGAAAAAATGCAATATTTAAAAACATTTTGGTTGCATTAACCATAGTGGCTTTTTTTTTTTTTTTTTTAACTAGGTGTGTACAAAAATAAGCATTTGGGTATGTTAGTTCCATCTCAGCTTCCCCTACTTCTTTGAAACTGTAGTTTAAGTATAATTCAGTTCAATAAAAATAAAATTAAAGAAAAAAAAAAAGGCATATCAAAGCATGTTTTGCTCTGATCCCTTGGTTCTGTCAAAAGGACAGTGCTCTGACCATTACTATTTAGGCTACAGGAGGGTCTAATGCATCTTCCCCACTCATGTTGAATCTAGGCTACGTTGAAAGAAGCTGGAGAGAAACAGACTGTCAAAAAGGAGTCTGCAACAGATACTGACTCTTCCCTGAGAGAGAGGAGTCCTAGATTCTAGACGCTTCTACAAGGTCTCTTTGAGAATTTTTCACTAAAATTAATTAGGTAATGGATAAAGTATGTTGATAGCAGGAACTGGCTTTCAGCACTTCTCATTTTCAGAGAAATGATCACATTGGACTACAGAGTGAGGATCTATCTTCTTTTCTCTCTCTCTTTCTGGTCTTGGGAAGCTGGTATTCCTTACCACTGAAAGAACTATCTAAACATAGAGTCATGAAGAGTGTGTCCCATAAATTTTCTTTTTAATCAGCTTAATGACAGTGCAAGATTGAACACCTTTCTTTTCATCCGAGTCTCTAAGGTTAGAGGAACCAAGCAGGATTATTAGCATCTCCATTTTCTGATTTCTGCGTATATGTGTTCCTCCCACAACACTCTGCTTTTCAATTGTCAGTGATAGTAAAAAATTCACTTTAAATGGGCTAACATCTGGTTCTGTCAAAGTGAAGTTCTATAGCATATTTTCTTCACCTCTTCTTAAATGTGAAAATGCACTCACAGATTAGAAGAGTTTACCTTGAAACATTTCTATTCCTAATTATAGTACTAAAAAAGGTAAGAACTGCTATGCTCTCAGTATCAGGTTTTTAATATAAAATCAATAAAGACAATAACATATATATCATACAGATCACAAGAAACATATATGATAGCAACAGTAGTATATAAAACTACCATTTCTATGCTGACCAAGAGGATGGGGTTTCTGAAAAAGAAAAAAGATAAGTTTAACTTAAAAAATATTTTTTACAAAGATTTTTTTTTGTTGTCTTTGTTTTGTTTTTCCAAAAGGGCAAAAGATCATTAAGCCAAATATTTTGGTGGCAATACAATAGTGATTAGGGCAAAACATGCATCTAGGAAGGTAAAGCTAATGCTTAAAGAAAAGCTGAAGAGAAAGCTCTAGATAATAGTATACAGAACTTTATCAATGTCACTGATAAAACAGTGACAATGACCTATGGCAACTCTTTTGAGACTGTGCAAGATAAGCTGGTGAGTTCAGCCAGCAAGTTGTTGGCAAGTGTCAACAGCAACAACAAAAAACATATCAAAACTTGGCAATTGTATAAGTCTCAAAATTTCCTCCAAGAAAGGAATGGTTGAGTACCCTGCAATATTGTATCAATGATAAAGAGGACTCATTCAGATGAAGACCAAGGTATGTAATATGGGCTACAGTGAGAAATATATTGCTAACATAAATACAGCACAGATGGTTAATTTTAACAGTGGGATTGAATGTACCCTTTGTGTGTTTGCAAATAACACCAAGCTGAATGGTACAGTTGATACCATAGAAGGAAGGGATGTCATCTGAAAGGACCCAGAAAAGCTTGAGAAGTGGGCCCACATGATCCTAATGAGGTTCAACAAGTCCAAGTGCAAGGTGCTGCACCTGGGCTGGAGCAATCCTAGTCATGAGCACAGACTGCGAGAAGAACTCATTGAGAGCAACCCTGCAGAGAAGGACTTGGGGGTTCTGGTGGACAAAAAGTTTGACATGAGCCATCAGTGTATGCTTGCAGCCCAGAAGGCCACCTGTATACTGGGGTGCATCAACAGAGGTCAGCAGGTCGAGGGAGGGGATTGTCCCCGTCTGCGCTGCCCTTGTGAGGCCCCACCTGGAGTGCTGCATCCTGGTCTGGAGCCTCCAGCATAAGAAGGATGTTGATCTGCTAGAACAGGTCCAGAGGAGGGCCACAAAGATGATGAAGGGGCTGGAGAACCTCTCCTACAAAGAAAGGTTGAGAGAGCTGGGACTGTTCAGCCTAGGAAAGAGAAGGCTCAGGGGTGACTTCACTGCAGCCTTTCAGTACTCAAAGGGGACTTATAAAAAAGATGGAGAGCAACTTTTTACTCAATCAGATAATGACAGGAAAAGGGGGAATGGTTTTAAACTAATATAGGGGAAATTTAGCTTAGAGATTAAGAGGCAGTTCTTCACTCAGAGTGTGGGGAGGTGCTGGATTAGGTTTGCCAGGGAATTGGGTAGATGCCCCATCCATGGAGGTGTTCAAGACCAGGTGGAAAGGTGCCCTGAGCAACCTGATATATAGTGGGTGGTGTCCCTGCCTCTGGTAGGGGGGTTGGAACTAGATGATCTTTGAAGTCCCTTCCAGCCCAAGCCATTCTATGATTGAATGACAAAATGGTCAAAACTATGCATGAAGAAAAAGTATGGAGGTAGCAATTCCCCATACCTGGAGCTCATTCCTATATTTTAAGTGATAGAATCCCTATAGTGGTTATAAATTCTCTCTACGGAAACTATATAGATTAAAAAATCAACTCGATTAATGAAGTGGTAAGAAGTATGCACCCAACTGCACACAGTGAAGGAAATCATCCAAGTGATAGGTCTTTAGTCATAAAAAATTTAAGATAACACAGAAATTATCTTCATTAATTATAGCATAGAAACTGGAGACACAAATTCCTCTCTTCAGAATCCTCAACAGAATGAATCCTCAACTGATAAACTCCTTACTCTCCACACTGAGACTACTAGA